GTCTCTAACCATCAGGAACCCTCATCAAGTGGAAAAAAGTTAGCATTCATCCTCCAAATTCACTGTTTATGTTATGCTGGCATAGCTGTGTAGCTAGCCAACCACGTAGGACATCATTATATACAAGCTAGCCCAACTTCAGTAACCCTACAAAAGTCACTGCTGTTTAGTTTTCTGTCTTCGTTTATGTCGGAAGTGATAGCAGAGCTAGTGAAATACACCTCTCTCAAGGCTACTCCCTCTCTGATGCAGAGCGGGCCTAGAATCCTCTCTCTCTCAGCCCTGGGTGATGCTCTCGAGCTCATGGAGAGCATGCTGTTCTTGCTAGGAACGGATGACGGTGGATTCCTCTTCACTGATGTTTTCTTTCAACAGTTGCCAGCTCCAGTGCGAGCTGGCCTCGCCAACTCCCCGCTGCTGGCCGCGAAGGACTACTGCTCACTCACAGAAGAAGCGTATCGCATTCTCCTGGCTACCAGGAGCTTCAGGATCCAGGCGATAGTTCCCGACTCACTGATGGCATCTCCCGTGCCCCCGCCGATTCTCCCGGGCTCCTCCAACTCATTGATGGTGGCTGGAATCGCGCGTGACAGCACCGTGCCGCCTTTGCAGTTTTAAGGGAAACGAGCCCGCCAGCATTTTATAGCGGCTGCGACCACTGACAATAAGGAAAGGCTGCTCTTCATAGAGGACACACTCTGGGAGACGTTTTCTGGTTGACTCCGGCACTCGTTGTATTACTAACATCGCTTACTTTTAATAGTCATTCTACGAATGCTGTCCGTTTAAATGGTCTTACCTGTAAACTCTGCGGTATTCACCAGATTCCAGCGAGAGTGGATTCTGGAGTACTTCCCATGCTCCTGTTAGTGATCATCCATCTGGATGGATGATAACAACCTTCTGAACAGTTTAGGAGGTAGAGAAGGTCAATCCTGGCCTATATCTATGGGACTGATTTCTGCTAATAACGCCCACTGTATGGACTGATAACATCCGAAGCGGGTGTACCCCTCACAATATGGGCATTTTTAGGGTCCTCCATGAACAGCCAGAGACTCATTAAAGCTTAGAGAAGTGACCAGAAGGCTGACTGGGCTAACAGGCTAAGAGACTGTGAAAGGTATATTCAACTTGAAGAGCTGCACTTTGTAGTTATTTTTCCTTTGTCATGACTAAGAATGAACTAATATACACTCATTGGACACTTCATTAGTTACATCTTGGTTGTACCATGTTGGACCCCTTTTTGCCTTCAGATCTGTGCTTATGGCACAGATTCAACAAAGTATTACAGAGT